GGGGGGGGGGAATGTTAACTTCATTAATAATCAAAATGCGTTAGCAAAACAATAAGGTACTATTTTTTTCTTCAAGTCACCATAGTTTATTTTAGCGATAATATTCTACATCAGTGAGAATGCAGTAAGATTCGGCCTGGATGTGCTGCTCCTGAAAGAGGTCGTTGATACAGATCAGGAAAACCGTTTGAAAGCACGCGTCGAAAGTCTTTCAAATGTTCCTGCCCTGAAAAAGGCTAAAAGGAAATCTAATAAAATGTTAGTAGTAGTTACGTTACCCGCCGGAAGTCCGTGTGCCTGACCTAGAAGATGGGAGACATACTCCTCAGATCCATCTTAACAAAGTACAGAGTTTAGGCTTCTTTTATGTCAAAGGAGGGGAAACTAGGAGCAGGAGATGATGAATGACCACACACATCTGGGCACCAGCAAGGGTCCGAGGAAGATTGTGCTTAGTCTGTTGACCCTAGTTTATGTGCATTTAAATCTTTTATACACAAAGCATACTTCCCTTATCTCCTGGGAGAGGTACTTTCAGGTAAAGGACTGTCTCTTTGTAAAACTCAAGGTAAAAACAGAATTCCTGTAATGATTAGCATCTCTATATGCAAGAGGCTTTTTATTTACCCGAAGGCCCTGGGAGCAAAGCAGGCTGGAACAGGACGGAGTGAGAGAGGCCCGGCGCTTCCCTCTGTTACAGTTATATCAAGGATCATGTACATTTAGAGTCAAAGGAAAAAATAGACACTCGTGATTTATTAACGCTCATATCCTTTGTCCTAACAATCTCCCGGTTATGTCCTTAGAAAGTGATCAGAAATGTGAGCAAAATTTTATATGTAAAGATGCACATAGCACTTATTTATAAATAGTGGAAAACTGGAAACAACCTCAACATTAGAAGAGTATCTCAATAAACTTGTGTAGCCATATGATGCCATTTTTTACGGTCATGAAGACTTATCTTGACAAACTTTTTGTTTTCAAAGGACGTGCTTATAAGTTTTTTAACGTATGTAATATCCAGATTGTGGTCACAACTTCGGAAACATGCGTAAAGAGGAAGTAGAAGAAAATATACCAAAATGATTCATTCTAGGTGCTTTCCTTTTTATTTCTTTCAACTTTCCTGTGCTTTTTCACTTTATTCCAGTAAGTATTTATTGCTTGACAATCAAGGGAAAGCTGAAAGAAAAAATAATTACCTGCCATGACCATGTGAATCGATTAGCATATTTATACGTAAAGAAGGGATCAGGTTTTCCCCAAAATAGTTTAACTTTTTAACCACAGGCATATTCAGTTTGTCAGAATATCCTTTCGCGGTTGAGTGAAGATTAGGTGCTGTAGGAAAACTACTCCGTCACCGCAGTAAACAGCTTCGGTAAATGCAGGAGCTGGCTGCTGAAGTCAGATAGGTCGTTCAGAATTCTGTGGCTGGGAATAGACATAATTTATTTACATTTCAAGAAATCAGTGATGGGTGATCAGTAAAAAGAGAAAAGCTTAAGATAGTACAAAGAGTACTCGGGATAAAAATAGCGAAACGTAATAAAAAAGTAATGGTAATAAAGTATATAAGAAAAATTAACTTCTGACAGATAGTTGAGATTCCTATTGTGTATGGGTTACAAATACGTGATTTAAAAAAAAAAAAAAAATTTAATACAACCTTTTCTTTAAGGAACTTCCCCAATAGGGAAAGGGTAGGAAATTGAGGNTTATTGTGTATGGGTTACAAATACATGATTTAAAAAAAAAAATTTAATACAACCTTTTCTTTAAGGAACTTCCCCAATAGGGAAAGGGTAGGAAATTGAGGCTCACACTCAGTCCCAGCACGGCTTCCTCCACCCACAGGGAGCCCTAGGAGCCTGTCACACGGCCACTCAGAGCTCACACTTGAGCACCCACAGTGCACCAGGCCTTGGCGCTGTACCCCGACTTCATCTCAGAGCACCTGCAGTGTGTTTCAGGGAACAGCTGTAAGGAAACAATTGTGTTAGAGTTAAAACTTATATATAGGTAGAGAACGGTTGCTCTGGAGATGAGAGTACAAGGTCCCATGGGAACACAGAGGACGGCTTTCCCAGCAGTGGGTCTTTCCATTGTCTGTCCTTTCCATAAATATCCATGTGAATCTACCACGTGGGAGGCTCTGGGTTAAACAGATCACAGCCCCTGGCCTCCTGGAGCTTATGCCGACAGGCAAACACACAAAAACCAAGTGAATAGAAATAGTTCCATATCATAGTAAGTGCTAAGGAGAAGCAAACAGGGCTCTAAGACAGAGAATTGAAGAAGGCGACTTATTTTGCACAGAGTGGTCGGAGGTCAAATGAAGAGGTGACATTTAAGGTTAGGCAGATGGAAAGGAGCAGGTCCCTTGAGGACCAATCCAGGCAGAAAAAAACGGTTGATGCAAAGGCCCTGTGGCAGATAAGAGCCTTTGAATTGAAAGGGACCAGGAATTGGAGAAACAGGCCATTTAAAAGTATGAGGAATTAACCAAGCCCATGAGTATGGTGGAGAGGAAGGCGGGGCGGGACTGTGCAGGCAAAGGATTGAAACAACAGGCTTGTCGGTGGACACGCGCAGGGCTTGGTAGCGGGTAGGACACAAATACAGGACTCCTGTCGGGAAGAGCAGGCTGGGAAGGAGGAGCCAGACGGAGGCAAAGGGATTTGGGTTTCATCCAGTAGGCAACAGGCAGCCAACACAGAGGGGAATGTTGTGTTTCTAGTTAGCAATATGTTTTCTGATAACAAAAGCAACTCTATATGTAGAAATTTTGTAAAATGTACACAAGGACATTGAAAAAACCTGTAAGCACACTTTCAAACCACTGTTAACACTTTTCTATCTTTGCATGCAGATATATATATCGTTTCTAAAAATGGGATTTTTAAATACTTTCTATTTCATAATTGCTGTTTCACTTCACCATATAGAGCAAACATTCTGAAAGTGTCTTCCTGTGTCACTAAGTATTCTTGCCCAGACCAACTTTTTTTTTTTTTTTTAAATATATCTTTATTGATTTCAGAGAGAGGAAGGGAGAGGGAGAGAGAAACATCAATGATGAGAGAGTCATTGATCGGCTGCCTCCTGCAGGCCCCCTACTGGGGATCGAGCCCACAACCCCGGGCACGTGCCCTGACCAGGAATCGAACCTCGATCTCCTGGATCCTAGTTCAATGCCCACCCATCGAGCCATGCCGGCCGGGCTCCAGAACAACTTTTAATACCTGTGTGGTATTATGTACCGAAAGTAAACTAAAATGTATTTATTTTTATTGTTTGTCAACTCTGTTGTTGAACATCTAGAATGTTGCCAGTTTTCAGCATTATAAGCAGTGCTGTAATCATTGACCTTCGAGGGATACAGTTATTCGTATCCATGACTGTGTCCTTGGGAATGCCTAGAAATGCAATTGTGGGGGCAAAGGGCGTATATTTTTCAAGGCATCTGATACGTGTTTCTAGGTTAGCTTCCTAAAGTTGTGCCACCTTACAGTCCCGCCAGCCAAGCATGAGCGAGCCTCGTGTACCAGATAGTCAGCACTGGATCTGACTTGTCGGTTGGACAGAGGAAAAACTGATATCCATTGTTTTCATGTATATTTCTTAAACTAAATTGAACCCTCTCTCCCATGATCTGCTTCACATCCGTCCGTGTGTTGTGAACTGTTCAAATCCTTTGTCTCTTTTTATTTTTTGATGCCTCCATCATTTGGTTACTGATCCGTAAGAGCTCTTTGTATGTTAGAACCATTAACCCTCATGTCTGGTGCAGGTATTTTCCCAATTCATCTTCTTAAATTGCACTATTTTTTTCTACAGAAGTTTTGCATTTTTATGAAGTCAGATCTGCCTTTTCCTTTTAGCCTTTGCATGACTGATTTTAAAAGCCTTACCCTTCCAAAGATTGAATAAATAGTCACTTATATTTCCTTCTCATCCGGAAATAGTCGTATCTTATAAATTTTAATAATTTTCATCTTTAATCAGGATCAGGTTTTAGAGGGAAAGGAACTGAAAGGAACTGGTATCAGGGGAACCAGTCAACTGGTTATTGCAGTTGGTCAAGAGGGAGGTGACCAGGCCAGTGATTCTGACCGTTTTCTGTCCCCGCACAGTCCGGTTGCACAGCGAATGCCCGCGGTCAGTGAGACCCCCTCCCAGGCAGTGAGTCTCAGCTGGGGTGAAGGCCGTGGGAGACCCCCGGCTCCGCCGAGCACCTCGGGTGGAGATTTAAAGGAAAATGTATGCTTGACAGAGGTCTCTGAGGGGCGCTGGCAGGTCCGCCACGGATGGGCTCTGGGTGCGATGAGCAAAGAAGTAACTGGTGACTCTCGCGATTTTATTGGGGTGGCAGGTGAATCGTGGGTCCATTAACCTAGGCTGGCAGAGACGGAGCCTCAGAAAGGAGGCAGAAGCGTGAAAGATGATGGAGACAGCTTAGGACTGTTCGTTTTGAAAGGCTATGGGTCGGTTCAGGTTGAGAGATCGCTGCAGCGAGAACGGGAGTCTGAGCCCCGAGGCCGGGAGCCAGCTGCCTAAAGGAAGTCGGAGCAGCCGCGGTGAGTGAAAGGGCCGTGTAGGGCCAGGAAGGGACCCCGGGGGCACCGAAACTCAAGGCGGGGGAGGGGGGTTGCCGAGGAAAGGCAAGCAAAGGAACTAAGAAGAAATTGTCAAAGAGGTAGGAGAACCCGTGGTACCAAGAGAAGAGGAGTTTCGAGGGCAGAGAATGATCTCCAGCACTGGCACTTTCTAGCATGACACCTGGGCTCTTTGCTGTCAAAACCTACCTCGCTCTCCAGCTACCGCTGGACTCCTCATGTTCTCATGTGTCACCCCCAGCTCCGGATAGTCGTACACACCGTTTCCTGTGCCCCCAGCGACTGCCCCCCACCTGGTAAGCCGCTCATCTTCCAGGAGCTCCCTCAGGTGCCACCTCTTCTGCAAAGGTCATCCTGCCCACCCCTCCTCAGAACCGCACGGTGCATTCTCGGAGACCCCGCAGCACTACGGTTCTTCCCTCTAGGCAATGGGTCGCCTTGTGTGGTAGTTACCCACTTATCTGTGCTCTCCGACTTCTCTAAGGGCGTTCCCCGAAGCAGCAGAAAAGTTAGCCCAACATTCCCTGGGACCACCTCCGGGCGTCTGTCTTTTAAAGTCCTGTGTTTATTCTAATAATCAATGCTAGTTTTCACTCTGCCGTTCTAAACGCTGGTTTTCATTTCATGGAGTGTTAAAGGCTTCCCGTCACTGACGCAGAGCAAAGCTGCTTCTCCAGGAGGGTTCTCCATGTTTGTCCCCTGGCACACAGCTGAGTATCCGAGGGAACCAAACCCTGGTTTAAGAAATTGAAGTTTACACATGTCTCTCCCACCAGATGAGGAGCACTTCCACTGCAAAGACTGTCTTCTCTAATGCCATGTTCCCAGTGCCCAGCACTGTGCCCAGTACAGAGAGGGCACTGATGTGTATTTACAGAAGCAAAGGATGGAGGAAGGAAGGAAGTGAGTGGAAGAGCAGGTGAATGAGTGGAAGGAAAGTAGGGAGGAAAGGGTAGGTGAACAGAAGAACAGATGGGAGGGAGGGAGGCAAGGAGGGGATGGATGGATGGATGGATGGATGGATGGATGGATGGATGGATGGATGGATGGATGGACAGGTGGATAGATGGATGAATGATGGATGGATGGATGGATGGATGATGGATGGATTGATGGATGATGGATGGATGATGGATGGATGGATTGATGGATGATGGATGGATGGGTGGATGATGGATAGATGGATGGATGGATGGATGGATGGATGGATGGATGGATGGATGGATGGATGATGGACGGATGGATGGATGGATGATGGATGGATGGGTGGATGGATGATGGATGGATGGATTGTAAAGTTTAAAGCATAAACAGTGCAGAAGTAAAGACTGCATATAAACTACTCTCTTAAGAAGCTTAACTGTAAGGTGTGATGAAAGAAAGCAGTAGCTAGAAGGGCACTGACATTATGGATAATTTATTTTAATTCAGGGGCATTTTGTGGCTGTTGGAGAGAAAAGAATGGATGGGCTTCTTGGCATTTTATTTATTGAGGAGACCTGAACATGCTTATATGTAGGCTGCGGAAAAAGCAGATAGCCAGTGGAGGAGAGACTGAAAATATTTGTTCAACTCAAGAAATATTTCTTGAGTACCAGCAACGTGCCAGGCACCATACAGGGAGTGAGCAAGACGGAGTTCCTGTGGCAGGGTTTCCACCATAGTGGGAACAGAGGGGAGAGAGAGAAGGTGGAGCCTCGTGCTGATTGCTGCTGTCTTAGGAAGAGCAAACTATGTAAATGTTTGTCTAGGCCAAACGTAACCATGCTGGGGGGGGACCCACGTGCATTCCTGTGCCTCCTGGATATGGGTGTG